CATTCTAATTAACCGCCCAGACATCCTCCGAGACAGGCCAACATTTTTTCAATTCCATGGTCACGCAATGATCCTCTCACCATGCAAATCCCATCGACATCTTTGGAATCGATACTTCAGTGATTCAACCTCGAGTACCATCACTTGGATTTCTCAGAATGCGGTGTTATGCTGAGATGATATCGTTTCCAGGGATAATTAATACAGGGTAAAAATAACCAGTAATTGAAACATCAATATCTTGGCGCCACCTTGTTTTATAGTTTTTCCGACAATTCTCTGGCTTTCTAGCTGTTCTTTCGTCCTGGAATCCTTCCCATGTCGAATATTTTCCTGAGAGTATCGATAATAAAATAGGGGAGAAAGCCGTGGAGTTATGAGGGGACATTACACCAGTCTCATTGAAATCGCAACACCTCCACAGGTGGCCACGGTTCAATAGATGTGCCGATTCGTTGCATAAAATTGACAGAATAGTGCTGGAAAAGTTTTGTTTGAAAATAATAAAAATATTTCACTGCTCATTGCAAAGTGTCTCATAACGTTGTAATGGATGAAATTCTATTTCTTTTTTCTTTGACTAAATTATCTCGAGTAGCTTCCTGGTTACGTCACGGTATACTTTTTCTATCAATGCTTCGGTTCAAGTGATGCAGAGTAACGAAAATTGTCGACCAAGCGAGTCAAAACTACTGTGCGGTACAAAATTTGTCTTTTGATTTTATCAATGACTGCTTTACTTAACTCGACTTAAATCTAAATACATATATCAATACACCATAACTATGAGCTAAAGAACTAGAGCCCAAATCCATGTTTATTCTTTCAATGAAATCTCTCTAAGTGCTTGAAAAATACGAGCTAACTATCAGTGTTCAACATTGATCGCTCGACATCCACCAGAGTTGGCAAAATTAGCATTACAAAACTACAATTTCAAAATTACCTTATACACGACTCTCATAAAATACGGATCATAAAATCACGATAGTACAAAAGTGTGTAATAATAGAATAAGAATAAACATGTAAATGTAGAGATAATTTGCATGAAATAAATATGAATTGTCTATTTGAATATCGAATCAATACTATTCGCAAGAGACATTATCATGGAAAACAATGTGGAAACAATATTGAGATAATGAATGCTCAATGTCCCGCCAAAAAATGTGATCACAACGCCATCTACATACAATCACACTTGAAATGACGAGAGTCATTCATGAAAATAGCTGCATTGGTATACAAGAACCCGTGATACGATACGAGAAAACTTAGTGTACGATGCACGTACATGATTGCGGTTGAGTGGTAGCACACATACATACATGTGCAGCAGTGATTGCTGTCATGAAAGGGAGGAGACAGATGGCATGTATGTGGTGGGAGTGCATCTAACCGACGTCCTGGAACAATAAACGTATGTGAGAGTAGTAGACGTCAGAGAATGTGAAAGTGTTATCCACGTTTATAATATCGTACATGTCCTCCCCTCCTTGGTTGAACAACTTGTAGCCGAAGAGGCGCACTCTTTCTACTGGTTCCCCATAGGTGTTACCAATCAGAAATAAAATCATTGTAGCATTCAATTATTTTTACGTTCATTGAAATGCCGCCTGTTGGAGGTAACGACAAGAGCCAACAGATAGAGGTAAATTTATTCGAATGCATATTACAACAGACTGTTTGATCAATTGGAGATTGCAAATATTTTTCTTCTGCCAATGGGTATTGTATTGTTTATGGTAGATGGGGGCCAAAGTGGAGTTAGAAGACTCCGGCTAATTTGAATACTCAGAAATTTGTTATAATGTATACGTGGAATAGCTTTAAAATGAGTTAGATCCTCCTGGTGACACATTGGTCTTCCGGCTTCAAAAAACCTTGAATTACATCGCAATAAAATAAAATGACAATTCATAAAGTCGGTATTTTGTATAAAAATTCATGAATGATTTTCAGTGACAAGTCAAATGAAACATCACTAGGAATGATCACTAGAATTATGAATAAATAAAATTAAGAGAGACCATAGTATTTGAAAGTGGTCCCACAAGTATACAAGCGATGAAGGACCAGCGATAGTAAAAACCTGGCCTCAAGGCGGCACATTATAAAACATGAAAAACTATGAATGGATAATGGATGTAGAATGAGGAAAGAAAGAGAGAGAAGAAGATGGCAACGGAAAGCTAACATTCTCTCACGAATTCCGCAGGTACACTTGCCCCTTACCCATACATTATTTTAAGGATTTTCTATGGGGGCTTAAAGTTTGAATTTTGTGTCTCATGCCATCAACGCTTGAGGAATTGCCATTAGGTCAAGGCAACGAAGCCTACTCTCTAATTCCCATTGAATAACAGTAACGAAATTACGCTAGTCCATTATAAATTTCTTTATTTCCTCCAGTACACATAAAAATGGGAAATAATTTGACGAGTTGAGGTGAATATTTTTTAACAATGAGAATTCCTCTTGAGCGGTAATAAATGGTCGCGATGGAATAAGAAGACTGACCCTGTTCGGACAGCGGTTCCTTTTTCCTCTACCTCTTTCGCTCATTGGTTATATAGAAGATTGTCGAGGGCTCAAGGCTAAACTAAATCACTCTCTGGCTAACTCGCATTAGTAGACTCTTCTGCGAATTCGATCCAGTCCCCATGCTCCGATTCGTAGAACGGTGCTTCGGGTCTTTCATCCTCTTTGGATTTTTTTTTTTCTTCCTTTCGGTCAAGGGGCGAGAGAGGAGGAGATATCGAAATAGTGTAGAATCCTCAAGTGAGCCCCTTTTCGTCGGTCTACCTCCTGAATCATTTGACCCGTGGGGGCCGATTAAGATCTTCTGATACACCAAAACCGATACAACAAAGGCAGCGAGCACCGCCGGAGAATTATTTTTAGATGAAATCAACAATGGGATTGCAATCTTCAATGATATACTAAAAATTTTAATTATCCGCAATCCTTGTGGGCGAATATCGCTCTCACAATTTTGAACCCTGCCCACATCCGCATAGGAAACGCAAACACTAATGTTTCCGGATGAATGAGGAAAGTAAGCCTTGTCCAATATTATTTCTATATACTTAATTATGAATGCTCAGTCTCCCATAATTAACACTTACGTGCTGAATGAGTAAATGGTGACTACATTTCAATATATTGTAGAAACAACAAAGAATTTTTGAAGATATTGAAGGAATTGGTCTTTTGACACAGGAAGAGCTTTTTCTGAATCAGAAATAAATTTGCTAAAATGAAGAAAACAGTTCTTCAATGTTCTTCAATTTGGAACTTGGAACAATTTCAATCTACTCAAGGTTTTTTAATTGCGTATAAACCTAAAAAGAGAGAATAACTAGAGTAATATTTAACTAATTACTTCATTCGACAATAAAAAAAATTCCAGAAATTGCATGTCACTTCGTGGCACTTTGCTGTGAAAAATTTCAAGCATTTTTAACGGAATTTTCAGGTATGCCGTTCCCTGCGATGCCTTAATATTAAAATCACATTTTTTCAAGTGGAGAATTTTTAGTTTCCAGAGTGCTCTCAGCACTTGCTCTGCTCTATATAATATATAATTGCGACAGGCTGCGCAAACCCGTCGCAATTATATATTTGACAGCTTAAGAGGCATCGAAGCCGTGCCAAAGGCTCAAGCCGTCGATTGCCGTTCTCTTTATATTTACAAGGTTCTTCCCGTACCGCAAAGACTAACACCGGTTGGGGAGAAGGGAATCGGAAGAAAGAAGCAGACGTATCTCGTAGGTGCTTTGTATGGGTGTGGGCGGAATTACTGTAGTACTTTTATTTTAAAACTCGAGCCATTTCTCTCCGGTCCGTCGAGCCCAGGAGAACAGCACGTGCCGTCAGATGATTCCGTCATATCCAGTCGAGACATCACTCTCACGATCCTTCCCCAGCACCCACTTGCACCATCTCTTCCGCAATCCCTCGTATTTATGGTCATCTCTATACTCTCAACACAATCAATGTATCACCAGGAAATATAGACAGCTGTCTGTAAAAGGGTTGATAACCACATTGGTGCTTGATGACTCGTGTTACGAGCTGAAGAAACATTTGCGGTTGGGTGACAGTTGTCTAGTGGCATGATTCTTCCCCCTTCCTATCATTATAAATTTACGGTTGGACTATTTAAAAATTGGCAGTAAAATATATACAACAGCACGTTCTCCGGACACACAAGCGGCTGTGCGACCTTAAGACACGTGAGTCACGCGTGTCGATTGAGTTTGCTAAACTATAAACGTATCCCTCTTCAGACACGAAAAAAGATAATCGTTTATATGAAAATAGAGATCATCACACGCAAATATAATGCAATTTTTCATTTGAGAGGAGTTAAAAGAGTTTTTAATGGCATTTGAGAGTGGAAAGTGGAGATGGACGAAGAATGTTGAATTAATTAAAACGTTCAGTGGTGGAGGCGTGAAATGGAGGAAGCTAGGTGACATAGAATTTTAATAGTCGCTCAGTATTTCAGTGACCACCTCTGCTTCTGCATGTTTGAACAGTAAAATCCTACTGCATTTTACTATAGGTGGAATAAAGATTAGTGGGAAAAGAGGAACGAGAGCAGAGTTACTTAATGTTTCAGGGAAAGTTTATATTTATATGGATCGGTTTGAATAATTCCATGGCTACGGAAATTCATGCCTTCATTATATTTCCCGAGCCTTGTTAACTCTCAAGGACAACAGCCTAGTAAATATAACGTGCACATTGTTATATAGGTATATCGACTTATATCTGTCTATACATTGGTGCGGTTGATAGATGAGGAAGTGAAATGCATGTAAATCTCATTGAGGTATGTGATCGCCGGGTGAATGCTCATGAATTATTATGAAAAAATAACCATAAAGGCTAATTTAATACTCGACCTTACAGTGAATACGGAAAGTATAAGTTGTTGGAATTCTTCTGTCCTTGGAGATGGACGGATTCTAGGTTATATTGGATATTTACCTGATCACATCGCAGCCACAGAATGAGGGAATTTGGAAATCGTAGAGGACCACCGAGACCCGAACCACCGGCACTCCGTTGGGCCTTCAGAATATCCGATAATGTCGTCCCATGATTCTCGAAAACTTCCAGAGATCTGAAATATTAAGACCACTTCACTGTACGGTAAAATATAAAAAGAAACTCCCCTCCTTTTCTATAAGAAATGCGAGGATCAGTTTACGACACTTGACATTTTTCCTGGAATATATTGCAAATTGTAGACGCAAATTGGATGAAAAAAATATCACATAGACATAAATTACGTTGCAATGAAAAATAGATTGTCCAGGAAATTGAATTTCGTTTGGGTCGAGTATCTTTACTAGTATGGAGCTGCTTCCTTGTGTTGATACTCCATCGGGACTCGAAATAAGTTCAGACACAAATTGAACATTCAAATAAATTAAGTTGATGAGAAAGATACGCGTGGGAGTTGAAACAGTGGGTGAGATGTGATTTTAAATGGGTATAGGGTTCGTTCACATCGAACGGAAGTCATCGACTGAGTTTTTTCTATTTTCAAATACCCCACACCAGCCAAGGTCTCATCTCAATCATCCGAAAAGAGTATGGATAGGAAATAAAATGAGAGCTTTTCTAGTTCTTTCCTGTGCTCGGTTGAAAGTGACAAGAGTTATTTTAAAGAATTTTCAACCACACCAGACTACGAGGAAATGACTTGAAACGTGGATGTCAAGACAAAATAGCCAGTGATATTTATTGGCATAGGTTAGAGTCTAGTCGAGGCCACCAGTGTGACTGATTGCCCGTGAAAACGTTTGGAGGTGAGACATTTTTATCACCCTCATATGTTACACGTTTTTACTAGACTAGACTTGACAAATAATTTCAAACCCAACGAGATCATCATACCCATTTTTTCTCAGTTAAATTCGACAGACAGTTTTCCAAAATATTTCTGTAAATAGTAATCTCTGTGTCGCTTAAAAAAATTGCTATTTCATCCATATTCGGAAATAAAAAATCTTCACGCAATTGCAATTCTATTTTTCTTTGTAGATGAATAATAATAAATAGATTATTACATCCATGGCGAAATGCAATGGACAATTGCACATTTCCCGCAAATATCCAACTTATTATTACTTCATAATTATTTCATCATTAGGTCAAGCCTTTTAATGTTCAATTGGTCTCTACTGAGTTCCTACTGTCGATACACCACGATGTGTGTGCTATTTCACATATGAATATATACCAATTACGGGGGTAATTTAACGGAATTCCACTCAGTAAAATTAAGAAGAAAAAGGGAAATAGGTAAATATAGATTGATAATCGCGATATGAACATCCGGTGCGTGATTCTAGCCGCGCGTGCCCGGGAAGCAATTAATGATGATACTGCTGCTCAAAGAACAAGAAAATTCCTAAACCACAGGAGAGACGTTTCAATAAAATTGACAATATGCCTCTCATTCAGACGAATCTAATCATAACAGGAAATCCTGTTGATTGATGTCAGAATAAATTTCAAAAAATTCCAACTCTATACGAATACGATTTCCTGTGTAATCGCAATATAATTTCCTTTCACTCATCGAATATCATTAACAGCTCAGAAATAATCTCAAAGATCAATTCTCGATGAACGTTCCAGAAGAAAAAAATTTGCAACGAATTTACGAATTTGCACTCGTATCTGACTTTAATATATAACGAATGATTCAATATTGGAAATAAGAAATTGGAGAAGAATGGATGGAAAGAATAAATTGTTTTTTTATAGTAAATAATCCGTCGCAGAAAACAACATGAACGCGGGAAATCCTACCGAAGACGGGATATCCGGGAGGAATGAGACCTCTTGCTCTCTTTGAAAAATAAACAATTCATAAATATTGACATGGAAAAATTGAAGAAAATGACGAGAGAAAGAATTGCATTTTTATGAATGTTTATTGTTATGCATATTTTTGTTAATCTTTTAATCTGTTCAATGTTGATTTGTAAAAAATAATTGGGAAAAAGTTGAATAACATCGAATATTATAAATTCGATACGAACTTAGCAATACAGAATCATCTTTTCCAACGAATTTAGTGACCACAGGAATTCCTGTTATGAAAAATTATCGCACATCTCCAACACGGTAAAAAAAAATGGTATATTATAAAGACTTGACCATATTCCTCAGAAAGAGCGCGGTGAGGGCTTTCCGATGAGCACGAGTGTGTGAAATCGAGGCAGCACGTTAGCACTACCGCTAATTGCACTCAAAGTCCTTATTAGCCTATCGACCTCGGTTGGTGTTTTCTGATATTTCCGTCAGGCTCAAAGCACCGATAACTTGAATTTTCACTTCAATATCACCCAATCTCTCGTATACCGGTGAAACGTTGCAAAAATAAAAGCATGCACTCTAATCTCTCACCGTCATGTGAGATTAGTTGATATGATGCACGTGCAAAACTTCAAATGTAAATGAGCGTATCGTGGTCATTCTCTATCTTTATGCAGTGCATGGAGTCTCGTCGTCTCAATTCACCGACCACCCTAGTCCCATTTCAATTCAACTACGAGCATAATTCTCTCATTCAAGACCCTCCATTTCCCTCACCCAACTCAACCACTGCAGCTTCTAACTACATTATAAACTCCCATATTTTTTCATCTACAGATATATTCGGAATACGGAAAATTTGAAATTCACAGTACAAATCACTGTATCGCTGTGCAGGAGAGAGGGAAAGAGAAGTTACGAAAAAATGGTAATATGTGGTAATGAAATTAATAAAGTCGTACATCCGCTATTGTTCAGGGAATTAGAACTCCACTGGAGACTGAATATAAAATGACAAGGGCAGGTCAAAGTTCGAGACTTTCGTTTCTACTTTATCCGCAGATTAGCTATTCTGACGCCATTCACACGAGATAAATTTCATCCTTGAGTTTAGTGTTTCTCATTTCTTTTTTGTTTCATTCAAACTCAATTTATCAGCAAGATAATCGGTAAAAATGTTTGATTGATGCGAAAATGTGAATGACTGTGTTAAATTGTCGGCGCCAACATGGGCAATCACAGATATTGAGATAGTTAAGTATTGTAATACGTTATGTCAAAAGTGGATGAAGAAGGTTTATCTGAGTTCAATGTATATTTATATATATACATAGAGTTTACTACAGAGCACTGGTTATGTCACCATAAATTTGGTTGAGAATTAAAAAAAAATCAGAGGTTGGATTTGCGAATTAGTGGAGATGATACAAAGTATTACGAAATGGCCAAAGTTGTGATATTTGCTCGGATTGAGTGAGGGGTCATCTTTTAGCCGGTAATGTTATCCACGTATTTCTTGACCCATATCGATAAATCAGCCCCGACGATGATTTTTCCACGCTCCAGTAGTGATTTCCCTTACGCAACAATGTACGAGGCGCACGGGAATCGAAATCGAGAGCAGCGGAAGCTTGAATACCACCGGTGCCAGGTTGAACTAAAGATATACTCGGTGTATACCTTGGGCGATTGGAAAAGCCACTTTCACTCGGCCCACCAGCCTATCTACTCAATCCATCTCAAACGCACAATTACTCATTTTTCTTTTCTATTTATTTCCTTTTCAACATATCTCTTTCTTTACTCAGCCGAGACTCACGGTTCGCATTCGACATTGGCGATTCCAGGATTCGCTATCTTCATGCTATTCGATCAATGTCGAGTCATCGTATTCACCCTGAAAATTAATCCCCCGCAACGTATCTGCCGTTCCAGCCGCAGACAATCTTTTTCCGCGATATTCATGTTCAAAAAAGAAAACATTATAAGTACTATTTGATTCTTGGGAGAAGTTAAATTTTCAAAAGCTTTAAAAATACTCATTCAAAGCATATTCTGTGTCCTTGAATGAAGTGCTACAGCGAGTAGAAATAGAGCTGGGAGGATTGAGTCTTAGATGAAATCGGTTGATTACACAGATAATGGGAGTGAATTTGTTGTAATTCCATTCAAAATTATTGACCGCAAAGCCACTTGATCCTTCGTAATGAAACTCCAATTTAGAGGAAAGAATAAGTGGGAAATATAATATTCAGTAATTTTTCAACTAATGAGTCTTTTTAATTCTTTTCATCCTGAGGCGCGTCCACCGTACTATCTGGCGAGGTACAAGGTACAAGTGGATAACTAACGTCTGCTTCCTCTGGTTCCACTGGAACACAGCCAACAACTTAGTCAGAACCTGACCCTGCCCCCAACCGACCCTTTCTCTAAATTCGTTCGTTGTAAAATTCTGCCTCTTCTACAATTTTACGAAGGGCTTTTCCCCCAAGACGTGCATTGGTTACTCATTTCATTTCTATAACCTGATAATGATAAAGGATTTTTCATTATTTATGAAATATCAATAAGCATCTAGCCTTTAATACCGTTCTTTATCAGTGTTCCACTAATTTTATTCCACGATAACACATAAAAAGTTCTCATTAGCGACACATGATTCCAATTATCAAACATCATCGTGGATCAATGTCTATCTGGTACATTGGGATAGTATGGTCTTTAATCGTAACACGGATAAGACAATCTGGGTCAAATGATATTTCAACGTACGAAAATCGTTGGTATTCCAGCTGGAAATGCACAGCTTCCTCTTGAAAAAAGATAACTTTTTTCACTGTCTTGATTATTTGATTAAAGCCCGCAGTTTACTTCATTAAATATTTATCATTTAAATTACCCGGTTATTGATGGCGTGTAATTTATATTTATTTGCGCATACTTCAACTGGCCGATCAAGTTTAATTTTTAGCTTAGGATAGTGTTGGTTAGTTGGAATCTGATGGACAAGTTAGCAACTGCTCCTGAAACTCAGCAACCTCGAATTGATTTTCAATCAAAACTTCGCTTGAATTTCTACAAACCATAGTCTCAACTATCACTTGACTAAAAGAAAAAAAAATGACTGCATGCAGTTCGCGGACTTTGTTATCCACAATGATATGGCTGCACGCTCGTCTTTGGATTTTATGGGTTGCAGGATCTACTATCGGTTTGTATTCAGGTTTAGGGGAGGTCATAAAAAACTTTTTTCATTGTAGCCTGGCTCTGGATTAATGACTTGGGGAAAAC